TCTGCGACTCCGCAAAAACAGAAGAGTTGAACACGAGTTCAGCTTGATGCAAATGAGCGTCAGTTTGGTGCTACAGTGCCCGGGTGAATGGCAGATGTTCTGAATCTATTCTAATGTGCTAGAAAATATGATTTAGGCGACATCTTTCCCTGGGGGGGTGAAGACATGTGTTCTATTGTTGGCATTGGTGAAAATAATGTGTGTGAAAGGTTTCATAGCTAGCGCGTATTCATGGGGATGTTTAAGACACGGAAACAGAGACAGCTTTGTGTCATCATTTCACCTGTAGTTTTGGACGTCTTCTGAAAGCTTATGGAACACGTACAAAACAGCCGTCTCAACAGAAATTATTAGGAACGGCCAATAGTTCAAGCAAGATGAAGGCCCAATCATCGGAAGTCTTTATTTTTAAATGTGCCCACACAAACAGCCAACGGTACACATACAAAAATACATCTTTTCAACGTTTTTAATCCACCGTAGAACTGTTTCGTCCGTAGCTCTGTTGCTAGGCGACAGCTGTAAGGGTAGGACAAGCTAGTGCTGAAGTAGAAAGAATCTCATCTGACCCGGTCTATGTGTTGTTTTTAATCCCTTTGAACTTGTAAAGTTTGATGATTGTGCTTTATTTATTCTTGCTCTATTTTATAATGTATATTTATATATTTGTATTTATTTTATACTGATATAGACCTACAAGTCTGAAGTATTGTGCGTATAGCAAATGCCAGCAAGTGACAACAGGCAACTCATCAGCCACTTGGCAACGCATAACAACCCCCCCCACCCCCCCATGCCCTGTTGGACTTTGTGTTAATTCGAACGTGTGTGAGCTTCCATGTCAGTGTCCCGGGGGCAAAATCACAGACCGAGACTGAAAGTGCTTCAGGACTTTGTTCTTCACTTCAGTCACTGTCCTTTGTCATCACTGCCTCTTTTTCCTCTTCACTTCTCCATCCCTCCTTCCTCCTCTTCTTGTCTGTCCACTGTTCTGACAAATGTTTATTTCCTCGTCTGTTGTTCCTTTTTTTTTTTCCCTCCTCTTGTTCATACCCCCCACAGCCCGATGCATGCCCTTTACTCTCTTTCATATTCACACCATCTCTCTCTCTCTCTCTCTCTCTCTTTCTTCCATTTTTTCCCCCTGCATCTTCCTGTCCGCCCCTCTCTCTGCTGTTGGCGAAGTTCGCCATGTTGCTGGCGAGGGCTCTTTGATTTCACCAGCCTCGTACAGCCCTGTGGTACATATGAAACAAGTTGCAATAATCACAGGAGCAGTGTAATGACTGAGCATGATTCATGTCTGGGTTCACTGAGCATGTGCGTGCATGCGTGCATCCGGCCTCTGACTCAGGGACTTCAGGTTTTAAAGACAGCAATCAAACTTAATCGCTGAGCTCATTGGTGGCAGTGGCAGTGACGTCATTTGGCAAAGGATGCAGATCCCATTAAAGTTAAGCAGTGGTATGTACGGGATGTAGACTTCATTAACTGTACAGAGGAAGAACTTAATGACAACATTTTCATTCATCCTCATTTATACAACTTGATGTGAACATATCGATTTCTTCACAAATATATTGAATATGATTTAAGTCTGCACAGGAACAATAGCCATTTGGGAAGTTGTTGGTCTCGTGTCTTGTGTGGTTATAAATGGTGGTAATCAACACTGAAGGAACGTGTTGGTCGACTTAATCTTTGCACATTAATGGAGGAAGAACAAGCTGCTTTAGGTAGAAGAAAACTCTTCCATCAGCAGTTTTATAATCAACACAAAATTTGAGTCTCCATGAAATAGCAAAGAAAACCCTCCTGTGTTATCAGCACAGCTAATTCAACTCCTGCACCATTATTCACAGACAGTGACCAGCAATTTAGCAGAGGCATCACTTCCTTTAACCTTAGTATTTATTCTCAGAATCTGTTTTTCTCGTCTTTCCGTTTCTCCCAACCTTTCTTCCTTTTGTCTCCCTGGATATTAAAAGCCCATTGGCCATCGCTCTGTCCCTCTCTTCGATGGCAGAGCGTCTGTTAACATTTTAAACCCTAAGAAAACACATTGTGTCACCGATCGCCAAATCTCCGAGTGCGACCGCTCTTCCGACTCACACGTTTTTAGCCATTATCAGCTGTAGCCAGCAGGGTGGAGTGTGGTTTGTGTGCCTGTACTAGTGTGTCTCTTTGTGTACATAACTGCTGGAAGCCACAACTTTGAACCGAAGGCTAGATGTAAGGGAAGCAGCTATCTGCAAGACTCGCCGCTGTTTTGATAAGAGCTAATTCGCCGCTTAGGGGGAATCTCTCCTTTACTCTGTTATTCTGCCTTTTTTCAGGTGGGTTATTCCTTTTTCACTTTTTTTTCTTCATTGATCCTCTTTTACTCATTCTTCATTCACATTTCATTCCTCTCTTTGCTCCTGAAAAACATCACTTACTCGTGTAAATTTGTTGGCAGGAAATACAAAAACGTGTCCAAATACAAATAAATCCATAAAAATTGCCTCTCTGATTTTTCTCTCATGATCTTCCTCCTCTGTAGAAGTCAGTCCAGTGTTGGTGCGTTGTGTCGTTCGTGTGCATGTTTGTGTTGAACCGTGTGTCTGAGGTGGAAGTCAGCAGATGGGGCTGGCGTGTAAACTGCTATCAGAGCCTGTATGGAAGCTCCAGGCAGAGCGCTCTACACATCACACTCAGTGATGCTGCCACTGGATTGTCATCCCTTCAGTAAATAATGGCTCTGTGTGAAAGTTTCAATGTTGAGTCTATTGTTAGTGTGTCTTTTTATCCAGTGGTTTCACTCCCCTTTGCCTTTGGCTTCTGTCTGTGCGAGTAGTAAACTATATATATTATAAAGTTGTGTATTTATATATCTGAGGCCGATGGGGTATACAATGTGAATATATATATATAAGGCATCATTTCTTAATCATAGACGATATATTAATATAGATATATTTAAATATATAAAAAGGGTACATTTCACAGTAAGAGGTTATACACATTATGGTCACTAATGTACAAAAGGGTTCAGCAAAGCAGTGCAAGTCATGTGAAGTAGTGGTGGTACGAAATACAATTAAGGTAGTGTACTCAAAAGTACACAAATATAAATGTGTGTCTGAGTTTCAACCACCATCATAAAGTCATGACCGACAGATTTCATGTATTTAAGTAGCAGTTCGTTAAATAAAATGTATTTCGGTTGAATACTAAACCTCATTTACCAGTCAGCTCTCTCTCATCAGGTCTGCTCAGGTCACTCTCTTCATTTTGGAAACATTAAACTGGTTAAACACAGTTAGAACAAGACAGTAAGGGCTGTTATTATTTACTGAGAGTCCTGAAGTCATGTTTTTCGTTATTTGTTTGTCAAATCCATTTCTTTTTCCATAAATGACATGTCTTTTGTAAATTAAGCTGAGGGACAACATTTTGGGGCCTTGCATTTTGAATTATCTCCATTCAGCTGCAAATAACTTTTAATAGAGATGAGCTGAAATGTTGTCTGGAACTAAAACACCAGCAACAAGTGCGGCTGTTTGTGTCTCGTCTGGAGAAACCTTCGACTAATAAAAGAAGTCGGTGTATGGCGAAGAGAAGATTGCATTTCTAACAGGAGGATTCATATAAACAGAGTTAGTTCTTATTATTGAACAGGAATAATGTAACACAGGACTTCTGTATTCTTACCTTTTCTATTATTCATTCTGAATGAAAACAGGCTACAGCCCTGGTGTGATTTACAGAGATCCCCTGTGTGAGGTGTGCAGCCTCTGCAGGGTTAACAGTGCAGCTTTAGTTTCTCTCTGTTCTACTGTCTGCTTCTTGTCAGGCTGCAGTTACCAACACTGCCTCAATCAATGTCCGCAGTTTGTGACAACGCCGACTTCACCGCTGTCGGTTTTCACCTCCTCTCCCTCACTTGATTAGTGTCGCCATGTGTCATCGGCCTCGTCCCTTGTCCTCACTTCTCCCCGCACCCCATAACATATTCCCTTCCTTCTCTCTGCATGTTTCTCTGTTATTTCTCCTTCCATTTTTATCCTCCTACACCCCCTTCCTCCGCCAACAGCATTCGCCTGATGAGCCCTATGTCTTGAGAGCCTGTCAGCTGTGTCAGGGGTGTGGGTGAAGCCTGTCATTACAGCTGTCCTCCTCCAAACTACTCTGTGAAACTCACTGAGGACCCAGTGACACTGTCCACTGCAGTGGGGATCCATGTGTATGTGTGGGTGTCTGCTTGATTTCCTTATAGATATCTTCCAACTTACTTTGCAGAATAAAAGAGATCTAATAAAGTCATTTAGTGCCGTGTACGTAACAATATTCACCCTTTGCCGACAGGAAGTGTCTCCAGCCGAGTCCACTGTCCAGCCCTGCATCTGTGTGTCTGTTTGAGTATTTGTTTGAAACTCTAGTCCACCAACAGCTTAGTCGCTAAAAACAAATGTCCCTATTCCTGTGGGGTCTCATGTCGGCCAAGCTTCGTCGACTAGACGCTCAAATTCTTGCACAAACATGTCTGAAAGTCAATTTAGTGCAATTTCTGTCACCATCAACCCTCCCGACGCAGTAAACCACACCCATATGGTATTTAATCCTGCCAAAAGAACGCTAAGAATGATTCCATATTGTTAGACGCAGAGGATGTGCTCCGCGGCACACGGGCAATTAAGCAACTTCATCGGCACAATCATTTCATATGCCGTTGGAGCTACCTATCGCTGTGTTGCTGTCACCGTGCAAATTTTCTCCTAATTTTGCTCTTGTTAGACCGTCCTTTACTTCCTCTCTCCCCCCCACTCCCCATCTGTCCTCCTCCCATCTCCCTCATCGGGCATATCTGCAGTCGGACAATTACAAAGACTATGTGTGACAACTTGAAATGTGATAAATGACTCTCTCGTTCTTCTGTGTGTGTGTGTGTGTGTGTGTGTGTGTGTGTGTGTGTGTCTGTGTGTCTGTGTGTCTGTGTGTGTGTATTGTTCTCACTCTAGATGTACATCCAAACCACCACACTGACGATCTCTCTCAGCCTGTCTGCCTCCGTGTCTCTGGGAATGCTCTACATGCCCAAGGTCTACGTCATCCTCTTCCACCCCGAGCAGAATGTACCCAAACGGAAACGCAGCTTCAAGGTGAGGAGCACCTGAGTAAACACTGCTTCTGTCTCATGAGTTCAATGTTTAGTTCTTATTTCCCACATCTTAACTGGTTTGATTTTTGAATTTATATGTTGGCTGAGAATGTGATTTAATTGAAATAAATGAGGATCATTAATTTAACAAACACTGAAATTACATGAACACATTAAGGCAGCATGCAAAACGTGTGTATATACCCTTAAGACCGAATGCAGCATCTGTGTGTATTGTGTATACACCTTTAAGATGTGTGTGTACATACAACTTTAAGACCTGATGTGACGTTTGTGTGCTTGTCCCTTTAGAACTGGATGAGACGTGTGTGTCTCATCCATGATGTCATCGTTTTCATGACACATGCACCGTGATTTGCTGAAATACTTGAAGGGAAAGCGTTTAGCAGCCGTGCAAATAGTTTTTTAAGTAGCGTTTCACACAACAGCTGACATTCTAAGTGAGGGAAGGCAGATTACAGCAGTTTAATATTGATGGAAACATCGATGGAAATGAGGAGGAAAGGGTTGCGAGGCTGCCTTTGTCTCGTTTTTAAAAAATGTTCACAAACCTCGAGGGAACAGCAATGACTGAGAAATTAAAGTTTTAATGTTTTTGTTGATTTTTGCCTCAAAAACACAACATAGGTGTTTTTATTCACCGCCTTAGGTCTCTATGGGTTAAACTGAGAAGGAAGCCAGTGCATTAGTAGATCCGTCCCACATTGATAATCCTTATTTACATTAAAGTAATTCCTTATTATTAATATATATGCAGGCGATTGTGACCGCTGCCACCATGTCGGGAAAACTGGGCCAGAAGGGAGGAGACCGGCCTAACGGAGAGGTGAAGACCGAACTGTGTGAGAGCATGGAGACCAACAGTGAGTAAGAGAACACCGAGTTTTTATACTTATACATATAATAAACTAATAAAACTAATACTAAAATCAGATATATAACTGTAATCTATACTGTGGAATGTCCCCTAACTGGCTTTTAACTGCCTAACAAAGTCTTTATATGGTAGACCCAATTTTTCATTATCTATACCTCAAATTTAAAACATCACAATTACGTTTGGGCAGAATAAACGGTCATAATGCAGATATGAAAAGCATATAACACATACACAATAAATCACATTCATGAGAGGCCGTGGCTTTTATTATGATGCAGGTAACAGACAATCAAAAAACCAAAGTAGAATACCACTCAGCACAGCACATTTATATTCACCAGATCTGGATTTATACTTGGATCTGCTCAAACTCATTCATATCCGTTCCATTAGTATGCCTTTTTTCCCCAAGATCCATGAATCATTTTCTGAGAACTCAAGTAAAATATTGAAAGAAAAGTTCATTGAAATGACCCGTACGACATAATTCCACCAAGTTTTATGCAAACCTGTCCTGTAGTTTTTGCGTAATCTTGTTAAATAACAAAACAGAAGAAAACATAACCACCTGGAGAAAAGATTTGATTTTCATTGCTTGTGGCACAGAAGCATGAAAACAAACATTTCCCTTGTGTACATTTAGGTTTGGATGTACGCTACATTTTACATATTGCTATTGCTTTCATTTTGCAGCTTAATTCAATTTTGTGATTAACTTCATGCCTGCCTTTTGTATGTTTGCAAAAGGAAGCAGCTGCATCAGTGAAAATTGCATTTGATCGCATGGCATGTGCGTGTGTGCGTGTGTGTTTTCTCCGAGCATTGACAGCGAAGCACTGTTACACCTGCTTCAAAGCTCTGTTTTGTGTTGCGCTGCATCTCCTGTGTCAGCAGACTGCAGATGAAACGGCTGCGGTGTGACACATGCTGCTGTGTCAGGCTGCAGATTGCATGTGCACATCACTGTGCGTGTGCGTGTGTGTTTGTGTGTGTGTAGTACGCATGCTTTTTTGTAGGCCTCCATCGATTTGCATTAATCCAGTCCTTTGCTGTTCATGTGTCGATTTCTCTCATGACATCTGTAATTAAATAAGCCAATGATGAGCTGTGTGTGTCTGTGCAGCCTGTGGATACTGTGGGTGCATAAAAGGTTTCAGACCTGCGTCGGCAAACCGTGCTTTTCTGTCAGCACTTTATTATGATCAGTGAAGACATGAGGTCACAGTTCATTCATTCAGCCAATAGTTAAACTGCTTAGTCATCTCTTTTCATAATTCACTTTTCAAAAAGTGTAAATTTGCCAGTTCCTCGTGATCCAGACAACAGTTAATTAACACAACAGCGATGAACAGAACGCAGAGATGAGTGTCTCCACCTTTTTTTTTTCCTTCGTCTGACATTTTGCTGAAGAGCACTTTTCAGAAAATATCAATAAAAACATTTTTTGCAAGTCTGAAATAAAAGGGGAAGAAAGACTTGTATTTTCACCAAGGCCCTTTTATTCTCCATTCTTTCAGCAGTGTGCTGGGGAAACAGGTGGAATAGAGAAAATAAAAGGGTTGTGTGAAAGCGTCAATGTGTAACAATAGCGCAGTTAGAGGCCCGCGGTCGCTGCGAAAACATTGACATTTACCATGAGATGCTTGAGGGGACGGGAGACATAATGGGTTTGACAAAAAGCCCCAACTACTCAGGTAGACTATGGGTGTGACACCGTTACGTGACCGTCTGTCGCAAAATCTGCTCCCAACTGCTTTCTGATCTGTTTCTTTCCCTCTCTTTTCCCCTTCAATTCATCCAATCTGTCTCTTCTCTTTTCTTTTTCACCTCTTTCCTCCTCTAAAACGATTTCACTCCTCCTTCCATCGTCACTCAGCTTCATCAACTAAGACGACATACGTCAGTTACAGCAATCATGCCATCTGAAGGGACCACGGACGCCGGAGAAGGGGATTGGACAGGAGAAAAGGGGGGCGTGACTTGGGGCAGGGCCGAGTGAAAGAAGACGCCGCCGTTCAAAAGCCTGTTGGCTGGAAAATTGGCGGAAAGGCAGAGCGCCCAATGGAATTCAAGCATGAGACATTTTGTATTGTTCTGCATCAAACCACAGAGGGTTGGGACCACATAAACAGCCAGTCAGTGTGCCTGCTTTCCCGCTGCTCACAGCTCATTGGTCCTACCATGAACTTACCTGTTTAAAAAAAGAAAAAAAAAGAGGATATGAAAAAGGTGAAAAACCACAGGACGCTGTGGAGGACAGAGTAACTATTAAAACCTACAAAAGATATTAAAAAAAATACACATAAAATTGAAAATATAAAGAAAAAACTCAGAAACCATGTACACATTATATCTAAAAGGACAAAGGTTGGGCCGGGAAAGAGATTTAACAGATTACATTTTAAAAAGATATTTAAAAAGAGAAATGTAAGAGAAAAATCTATGAGACTCAAACATGTTTGTTGTTATTCTCTACTTGTAAGTATTTTTGTGGTCGTGACGATTTTTTCATTCTTGTCTCACCGTTGTCTGATGGATCGCCCTTGCATAATGAGATGAGTGTGTTTCCTCCTGCTGTCTTGGCTAACCAGGTCGTAGCCTTGGGTCGTGAACCTGTAAAATGCCATGGTTGAAGCATGCCAGTTTTTATACAAAAATGAAGATTTATTTATAATAAAGGAATGTTTTGCAAATGTGTAGATGGGTGGTGGTGCTTTTGACAAGTGTGGGGGGGACCAACAATTCCTTTATATTTGCAAAAATGGAGAGTTTTGTGTTTACTGTGTCAGTGTACTTTTTCCAATTATGTTGCAACAGTTTGTATGATGCATAAAACATTTAAGGCTATTTAGCAAATCCCATGGTTGCAGAAAACATCTATTTACAAGAATAATTATTTGCACAGTTTGTCCTATTTATTAATTTATGCCCATGAAATGCTCTTAAGTCTCCTCGGCCTTCGTCTGCAACTCTCTCTTAACCCCAAAAGTATAAACGTTGATAGGATAGAAAAAACCTGCTGTGAAGGAGAGAGTGAGCGTGTATGAGGGCGAAAAGACAGATATTTGAGCCAAGTGGACAGAACTCCCCTCTCTGTGCATCGACAACAATCCAGCAGATGTCCAACCTTCAAAAATACATGAGAGCTAAGAAAGAAACAGTCAACTGCATCAGTGAACCTGTTCTTGTTGGAGAGGAACAATCAATAACGCTGAAGGCGAAGTGAAATGACAAATCACATCATTTACAGGAGGGCGGCGTGTCCTGACACACATACGTCAGATGGAAGCTTGTAAAATTCTAGCGAGTCCGTTCTTGCGAATGGGTGCTCTTTGACTTGTCTCCGTGTTTGCAGTCTCTTCTGGATGCCATAAAACGTTACGTCTGTGACAAGGCTGATGTGCGATATAATCCCTGTAGAAAACAGCTTTTCTTCCATAAGCATAAAATCACAGGTACAATTTCTGCAGCTGCCATCGCATGTTTTCTCAACCGTGAAATCTCCTTGAGGGAAACACTAAAATCCGACCCACTTATTTACTGGAAGCTGAAGGAAAGATTAAAATGTGTTTCATGACCCAAAGCTCCATGGGACTAGTTCCTGAGCCAAATGTGAACTGTCTTGTGTGTAGACATGATAACTGGGGACTTGTGCCTTAATGTGTAGTACATATAGACCTGTTGGAGCAATGAAGACTCAGATGTCGACTTTGTAACATGCCCACAATGACAGTACTGAAATGCTGATGTTTATTTGTGGTGACATGCTAACATTTAATTAGCACAAAGTGAAGCTAAACACAAAGATTTGGACTGAAGAATTTGAGCAGATTTGAAAAACTGACCTTGTGATGACTCTTCATTCAAAGTTACCCAAAGTCATTAGAGTTTATCCTCTGGGGAGCATGGCTTTCAAATTCCATGATAACAGTTTCTGAGAAATTATACTCAAATTAATGATCGAGGAAAAGTTAGAGGAAGACCGAAGTCATTAAGATTCCATCAGGGTTCATCCTCTGCAGACTACAAATGTCTGTACGTGGGTGTATTCAATAGTTTTTTAGAAATCTTTGTCAAATAAACAAATTAGCTTGAGTAAAATCCACAGAATCATCAATGTCATTAGGATTCCATTAGGGTTCAGCCTCTGCAGACCACAAATGTCAATGCATAGTAGTTATTGGAATATTTTATATTTCAGTTTTTACAGGTTGACATGAATCCTCCATGTTGCTCTCATGTTTTAAACATATGATGCATTTCTGAAACATCCTGAATAGATTTCTCTCGTCTTTGCGATTGATTGATTCCAGACATCATTATCTGAACCAGACGTCGATAAGGCCAATTTTCAGTCTTGAGGATGAGTCGTGTCAATAAGCTCTTAGCTGTCAAACACATGTAATGCAATGGAGAACTGTCGAGGGACCGGTGGCTGTGACCTGTAACACAAATTTGTCATCACATGTAAATGTGCTGGAAAGTCCCCCGGTGCCTCATGAAGGAAAGCAGATGGCGGACGTTTTGACCTTGTTGTCGAGCGGTGCAGCTGGTCCGTGTGCGGGACGTGTTTGGTTTGATTAATTAGCAGCGGATCAGACTGACAGTGACAGAGCGCAGGTGCTGAAGACTGATGATCAGCCGACACTGACCCATTTCATTTGATCTCTCAAGATGGTTGAAGCATGTGAAAATAAGATGCGTAAAAATATTTCAAAACAACTCACATTTTAATAATAAAAGGAAAAGCTTTTGCTTTGAAAATCACAAATTGAACCCTGTTTGAAAAGAGGTTCATGTTTATAGTGGACAAAAATTGTGTGATATAGTTTTTGTTTTATTTCTCTAAATAAATTTGAAGTATTAAAAAAAATCTACTCAACAATTCATGAAAGTTTGATAATAAAACAAACTGCTTTTGTATTTAAAATCACAAATTGAACCCAATTTCAAAAGATACAGGTGGTAAAAGGCAAAACTTGTGTAACTTATTTTGTTTTTCTTTATTTATTTATTTAATTTTATTACTCAATATGATTTATCTATGCAAAAATAAGATGCAACTACTTCCTATCTATCTATCTATCTATCTATCTATCTATCTATCTATCTATCTATCTATCGTTCTAACCATTCTATATTTAAAATTGACAATAAAACACCCACTGTTTTTAAGCAGATTGAATAATAAAACAATATTCCAGTGAATCAAGCACATTTTAATAACTCATCCAGTCTATATTGTGGAAGGCAGGGCAGATGAAGGCTGGCCTTTTCACGCATTGACCTTAGCTTTGAAATATGGGATCTCTGAAGGTGACCTGATTAGGCATCGTTCCAGTGGGACCTTGTTAGGTAGAAAGTCACCTGATGACCTTTTCCAATTAGAGAAAGCAGTTTCCTCACTGCACTAGCTGTAAACCTGTATGTGCAGTTTTACATAGAGGAGGAAACTAGTTCATGTTTTTCCACATAAAAACTAAAATCATTTCTTCCATCCCTATGTTCGGTTTTGTTAGTGTTTTTGACACCTCACTCTAGGCAGCGCAGGACATGCTTTCCACCAGAGGCAATAATCCATGTTATCTCCAGCCCACTAATTCAATTACCAATCTCAGACGGCTGCTAGTGTGACCAGTGAAACAGAAAACTGCTCCCTTTACAAAATCCCACTTCTTCCCACTCGAAATGAAAGTGTTTAAGTGTTTGTTTGTGTTAGGAAAAAAATACCAGATGGTCCACCACTATGTGTCCATGAGCACAGAGAGTTGGGACTTCGATGCAGCTGATCGGCTCGATGGATGTGGTTACCATGGTATCCACACCAGATGTCAGAGCCAGTCAGAGGGTCCTGATCTGAATCATATCCATCAAACATCTCTGAATCACTGCTAAGAATATTTATGACAAATGAAAAACTTCACTATGCTACAGTATTTGAGAATTGTTCTAAACGTTCTGCTGACGGTTTCAGAAACAGATATTTTTCTTTCGAAGTCGACATTAATAATTCACTGTAAAATGAAATTCTCATAAATATTCCCCAGCTCTGTTAGCTTTACGTCACACATCCTTTTGGTTTTGAAATGGCTAAGAAGAGGTGGCATCCTAGTGTCAAGGGTCTCCTTCACACGGTTTCTGCACGTAGACCGGGCTTAGGGCTGCTGCGTGATCGCTGTTCTCAGGAAGAGTTTAACCAATGATCTACTAGTGTTTTATTTTCCTGTGAAGTTATCAGAAGTAGTTTGTTCTCTTAACCCTCTGTTCTTCTATGAACTTTGCATGAGAGCAACACTACAGCAGACATCTTGGTCTTGGAAGAGGCAAGATGAAGCTAAGGGGCGATAGATGTATTGAGGAATACAAACTTTCCAATGCTGACATATCTGCAAATAAGTGATTGTAAATGACTTTTCAGATGTTATTATCAAACCCTTATGACAAAGAAATGATGCTTGAAGCTTTATTATAAATAAGTATAAATGAAAAGTAAACACTATTAAAACCAAATATGTATTTTTTCATTAATGCTAACATGGATGCATCTTTTATGCATTGTTTATTCTATTAAATATACATTTTCGAATCAGTTTATGAAGTAAAACTGTGAAAATAACATTGTACGATTAAACCGATCGACCCATAGATGAGGCTCAAGTTACTGGGGCACCCGTTACACCTGCATAAAGGGCTGTAGTTCTCTCGTAGTTTTTCTATTTCTCTTGGCTTTTATTCTTTGCATTTAAAATAAATAATTAATGACAGTTTTGGCCCCCCAAAAAAAAATAATATACACCTTGACTTTATTTTGCAACTCGACAGCAAAACCCTTGGTCCTCAACGTGAACTGTAACTATAAACCAAAACTGAGTGACGTCTCTCCTCAGACACTATAATCGAACAGAATTACTCCATGCAGATTTCCTCTATAAGTGTCTTCCATATACCTTCAGCAGATAAGCATGTAATCTGGAGTTTAGAAGAAGATTGTTTTTGTATTGAATTTATTCATTTATTTAAATGTAATTTTTACATGATTTGGTCCGAGTGGAGGCATTTTTACATTTTAATTTAATTGTGTTTTGTTTTCTTCTTTATCTCATCGATAATAAGATTTACTGGCGCTGGAAAGTGGAAAAATACTTCCAATCTTAAAATTCTTCTTTTTATTGTTTTATTATTTTCTATTTTAGTTTTGTGTTTAAGTTCAACACAACGCTGCAAACATGTCTGTTCTACACACGCACACACGCACACACACACACCTGTGGTATAACCCACAAAAAACAGTTTCAAACTGTGACCTCAGATTTTGTCCCTATGGGTTTTTGTTCCCAGTACGATACAAGCACACAAACGTACCTACATAAACATGGAAGTATTTGCACATATTGCATCACATGTCATTCTATCACTGAGCAATAAGAGCTTCAAGACACCGTGCATTCAGAAACGTTGGCACACAAAACACACACAATCTAAATTAAATAGAGAATAATGGAAATGCCTTTCTCTCCTTGTTTGTCGTGATGACAGTGACACACACTTCTACCCATCACCCATTGTATTGTCGGTGTCACATCATTTCACAGTGCCTAGTTTTTGCAGGTAGTCTTTTGGGAAGTGCAAATGCATAAACAGCGCCCGTGGCAGTGTGTGTGTGTGTGT